TTCTGAGACCCCAACACATAGCACGATGTTGCCCACATTTAGAGTGGATCCTCTTTCTTCAGTTACCTCTTCGGGAAATGCCTTCCCAGACACACTTAGAGGTGTGTTTCCACGTGATTCTGATCTGATAAAATCGGCAATGAAGATTAACTAGTACAAAGACTCAGTTAAATCATATTTGGCTTTCTGAACCCACAAAACCATTGGAATAAGGAATTTGTATTCTTAAATCAGTGTTAAGATTTCCTACATAGCAACAGTTAACTACTATAAAGACAGTAAGGACGTGTTCCCTGATAAAGGATGAGCAGAGACGTGGACGCGCTCACTGGTTGGGATGCACAGCTGTATATCAGGCCCATCTGCCTAAGGGTGGCACCACTCACAGTGGACGGGGTTCTTCCCCATCATTCAGCAATCAAGAAAATGTCCCGCAGGCTGTTCACAGGCCGGTCTCCCGGAGACAAAACCTCATCTCAGATATGTCTAGGTTTTGTCAGGATGACAAAAATTATGACATCTGTAAAAATGATTTTTTAATGTCTCTTTTTCTCTTATCTTCCCAACATGTGGGCTTGCAGAATGGAAGGATGAGAAAACACTTAGGAATAAGTCATTCCTCCAGGTGAGGGATAAGGATGGAGGTGCTAAGCCAGGTGCCCTCACCACACAGTTCACATCTGACAACATTCCCAGTAGCAGAGGAGTAAAGGTTTGTTGTCTGATACAGAGTTGAAGGATTGGGTGGACAAAGATTTTGCAAGTTTGGGAGAAGTTTTCTACTCTGTCAGAAAGGGGAATTTGACATAGTATTTGACAATGCAATTAACTTAATGTTGAAGGACTAATCTGTTTAATGAATATATGCCACAAAATTTAAGAGTATTCACTAAATGAGTTATGGTTACAGATAAAAAGGGGGTGGATGCTCTAAGAACTAAAGGATGCCTTGGGGTAAGAGTTTAGGTTCTGAATGGTGAGAAATCACCCCATGACCAAAACTTTTTATCCCCCTAATGCCCATCAACTAACAATTGAACATGGGAGTTCTTAAGCATTTGACAACAGATTCTTCACACCTAAGTGTGTGCTGATGGAGCCATCCTAGAACAGCTATTCTAAAAATATGTCCTTCCTTCTTCCTTCCTTCCTTCCTTCCTTCCTTCCTTCCTTCCTTCCTTCCTTCCTTCCTTCATTCCTTCCTTCCTTCCATCTTCTCCTTCCTTCTTCCTTCTTTCCTTCCTTCCTTTCCCTTCCTTTCTTCTTTCTTTTTTCTTTTCTTCTTTCTTTCCTTTCTTTTTTTTTTCGTGTGTGTGCATGTGTGTATAAGCACACATTTCACAACATATCTATTAAAGAGAGTTTGCTGGAGTTGCTTCTCTCCTTCCAATGTGTGGGTTCCACGGATCGAACTCAGGTTAGAAAGTTTGGGGTCAAGTGTCTTTTCCCACTGAACCATCACACTGACCCCCAGACTAGATCCTCAGCTCCACATCTGCAAGTCTCCTAAGGGGGAATCATCTTAAAATTAACTTGAAAATAATCACAGTGACTAAAAAAGATTCATCTTCCCTGGTGTTGTCTAATATTCCAATACTAGTCATGCTGGCTAGTTTTATATCAACTTGTCACAATCTAGAGTCATTTTGGAAAAGGGAATCTCAATTGAGAAAATTCTCCACCAGATTTACTTATAGGCAAATTTATAGTGCATTTTCTAGATTGGTGATCGGTATGGGAAGGCCCAGCCATTGTGGGTGGGGTCACCCAGGGCAGGTGGTCCTGGGTTCTATGAGAAAGCAGGCTGAGCAAACCACAGAAGGAAGCCCATAAACAGCACCTTTTCATGGCCTCTGCTTCAGTTCCTGCCTCTAGGTTCCTGCCCTGACTGCCTTCAGTGACGTACTGACTTGTAAGTATAAGACATGAAAGCTCTTTCCTCCCTAAGCTGGTCATACATATGTTTTCTCATAGCAATAGAAACTCTAGTGAAGATGGCACTGATCATCATCCTTCGTGCCCTTTAGACTTTCTGTGATCTAGTATCTGTCTTCTTTAAAACTATTTCCTTCTCCTGTCTCTCTGAAGCTGAGCAAATTTATTTCTTGCCTCTACTAAACATCTTTTTTCTTCCCTTTCTCCTAACAGGCTATCTATTTCTTCAGTTCTGCTAAGTTGTCTGTGTGGAATACACAAACATACACACACACTTATGTACATAAATACACACACAGACACACACGCATAATATAAACACATATATATGCACACACCTATACACAATGATAATAATCCCTTATTGCTTCTTGGGTAAAATTGAAGATTTTTTGTGCTTTGTCCCTCCCCCATGGTAGCACATGGCCTTTATTCAACCCACTATTTCTTAAACAAGCTCATCAGAGCTGTTCCCTTCCTATCTCCCTCAACCTGGCCACCTTTTTTTCTAACTGGCTTCGATAAAAGTGCACTTCTTCAGAAAGTCCATCTGGTAACCTCCTACCTAAAAGCTTATTCATGCCCATAACACTCATCCAACTAATCACATGACCTGTTTATTTACTGCATCTCATTTTATCTCTATCTAAAACAATGCAATGATTTCAAATTTCAATTCTGGTTTTATGTCTTGTCCTCTTCCACAAGATCGTGGGTCTGTAAGGTGAGGGATGTTGTATACCTTGTCTATGTTCATCTGGTTTACCTCTGTCTTCCCAGTCTTGTGCACACTGCCATCCCTTATTTAACAAGCAACGTTGAATAGATTAAGAAATCAGTGCTGTTTACTCTGCTTGTTTCCTCCTTGTGTTCTTCTGATACTTGGAACAGAGCTCACCACTCAAGGTCAATCTCAATATCTTCTCATTCTTTGATATTGTATCTAAAAGTTAATCTTATCCTGAAAGCTTTTTAAAATTTTTATACTCGTGTGTGTGTGTGTGTGTGTGTGTGTGTGTGTGTGTGTAGTAAGAGATTGCTAGTGTATTTCTGGCTGCCCTCTGCTTGTTCATTTCCCAGCCGCCCAGACTCCCAAAATAACCACACAGAAAATGGACTAATTAATCACTACTTGGCCAATTACAGGACTATAAGCTGTCAGATGGGTCCTCCAGAAGAGCAGAAAGTGCCCTTAACTTCTGAGTCACCTCTCCAGCCCCCTTAAACTCATTGCTGCCTCTTTATAGTCCCGACTGGTCTGGATATACCACATCTTGATTGTATTTTAATCTCTTTGTGCTGTCTTCCAGTTTTGTAAAATACAGTCATGAGCCCTGTGATGATTTTTTGACAACAGTCATATATATTCAGTGTTGATCCCAGGAGATTATGAGGGAGTTGACAATCCTTGTTGCCTGGTGACATGTTGCAATCATTTTAGATGTCTTAATGCAACACATCAGTGCACAGCTCATGTGTTTGGGTGATGCTAGTGTGAGCAAACTGATTGTGTCATCTGAAGTACAGTGCATGCAATCACACGCAGCACATATTGTCACGTGACTGCGTTTCTCATTTACGTGTCTGCTATTCTGTCTCCTTATTATTTTAGAGTGTATTCCTTCTACAAGCAGATTCTACAGTTTACTGTAAGATAGTGTGTGATTTCTCCAAAAGAGGTATGAACAAGTGACTATTCACCACAGATAGGGCATTATCAACAGAACAAAGGAAAGATTCCACCCAAGTCTAGGTTGGTGAACCAATCGCTTTACTGGGATTAGGAATATGAGGGGTGTTATGTGCTGGAGTGTGGGGAGAGATTACATACAGGAGCATGGGAGACTGAAAAGTCCATTCTAATGTGGACAAAGACTCAATTTGAAGCCAAGTGCAGACAACACCGCTGACACATCTCCCTGGCAATTGTTTATAGCTTGTAGCACTAGCACCTTAGGAAACATGTTTGTGAATTTTGTAGCGCAGGCTCTTCAAGCTTTCTAAGTTTCTTTTCCTTCCTGAGTCTTACAAGTTTCTCTTTTTCTTACAATAAGGACTATCTCATTTCAGAAGAAAGAGCTGAGCAACCAACAGTACCGAGCTGTGCTGTGGCCACACCCAGCTGGGGTTGACCCTGTCTTTGCTGCATTCAAAGGTTACAGTAAGTGACTGACTTTACCATCCGGGTTTATGTGAGCACAGTTGTGAAAGAAGGTGACAATGCATCTGTCAGAGTGTGCCACTGTCCCTTATTAGCGTGTGACTGTGTGTCTCAGAGTAGGAATGTAGCTTAAAATCACGGCACTTTCCCATAATGCACATGGTCCCAATATAAGAGAGTAATAATTGTCTTCAGTACAGTGTCTGCACTATAGTAACCCTCAATGCATCTTATATTGTAAGCTTAATAACTGCTGCTAATACTATTAGGTAATACTGTCGCTAATTTAGTGATAACCATAGGTGATGGCCCCACAGTAATAGCAACCATAAGGCAGAAAAGCAGGATTCTTTTAGAGGTAAGGCAGCAAGAGTCCAATAACAAGGAAGGGGAGTGAATTTGATCTCGAATGTCCATAGATTCCTAACCTAAGGATAGTGCCTGTGCTGGACCCTGCCTTCTGCCCCCGACCCCGCTGATAACTGAGTCAGCTCCTGAAGTCCCACACTCTCACCAAGAGCAGTGCCTTCATTTTCAAACAACACAAATGTCTTCACACTGAGTCATTTAACGCAGGGAAGGAAATTAAAGGAGAAGCCGCAGGCTCCATTCTCCGACGCTCCTCTTTCCTATTAGGCGCATCATTAAACAGTACGAAGTGAGTGAATCAGACACTGTGAGCCATTCTAAACAGAACCTCGCCCTCACGGGGTAAGCATTGCCTTTAGCTGACTCCCTTGCTTCTATTAACAGTCAGACAGAAATCCGATCGGAATTAATCTCCTGCAGCACTGCAGAGTTATTTTTCTGTTAGTAGGAAGTGAATTCAGAGGAATGTCTGGAAAGATAAGGAAGATGAAAGGCGTTGCCGGGAAAGAAGCCCGAGCTGCCCGAGACCTGTTACCCAGATTCATCCAAAAGCGGCGAGCGCTGGGATGACTGACGGCAGCGAAGGTCAGGAAATACCCGGTCCAGAGACAGATGGCAGGGCAGACGCTGACACAGGGCTGTCACGGAGTCTTGGCACCTCGCGTCCTTTCAAGCTCAGGCAGAGGCTGACCCTGGGGAATCTTAGGTCTACAGATTCTAGGAAGGCCTGTGGCTTCGTGCCTGTAAATAGCTTGGATCACCCAGAGTGACACAGAGAAAACGCAGAGGGTACTGGTGGAGGGAGGCATTGCAATTGAAGTTGTATTTGGCAGGGTTTTTGATTTTGTTTTTGTTTTTTGTTTTTTAAAAATTTTATCACATTTATTCATAATTTGTTTTCAAATTGCCTATGTTGGTGTACTTTTGAAAAAAAACAAACAAACAAACCATGTATCCGTGTATGTCTGTGTGAGTATGAACATGTGCATGCATGCAGGTACCCATGGAGATCAGAAGTGAATGTCAAATTTCCTGAAGTGAAAGTTACAGGCAGCTGTCAGTCACCCAATATGGGTGCTGGGAACTGAACTCCAGTCCTCTGAAAGTGCAATAAACACTCTTAACCCCATGATACACAGACCAAAATTTTAGCATTCTCTAATTTGAAATAATCATTGAATATTAAAATCTGGAACACAAATGCACTTAAAAATTTTCCACTTCACCAGGTGATGATGGCTCGCCCTTTTAATCCCAGCACTTGGGAGGCAGAGGCAGGTGGATATCTGTGAGTTCAAAGTCAGCCTGGTCTACAGAGCAAGCGCCAGGACAGCAGGACAGGCTTCAAAGCGACCCAGAAAAACCCTGTCTCAAAAAAAAAAATCCCATTTCTGGAAAAGCTACCACTAAGTAAAATAGGATCTGTTGCATGCTATTGCTCTTTGCTCTTGAGTGGATAGACTCTGCATTTAGTACAGTGGGTGATTCCAAGAATGGAGGTAGGTGATAGAGAACCTCATGGTTAATGTGGCAATATTTCCCAGCAGAGACACAGCACAGATAAACAAATGCAGAAAACTTGGAATTTAGTAGGTAAACAAGAGAGCTACAACTAGAAAAGAAGCATTTAATATTTACTTATTTTTATTCGATGCCTGTGGATATTTTGCCTGCAAGTATGTATATGCACTAAATGTGTGCAGTGCCCAAGGAGGCCAGAGGGGGGCGACAGATTCCCTGCAGTTGGAGAGGCAGATAGTTGAGAGCTGTCATGTGAGTGCTGAGAATTGAACCCAGGTCTCTGCAAAAGCACTAAATGCTTCTTAACCACAGAACTATCTCCTCAGCCCCAAGTCAGATGGTTAGTGTGCAGCAAATTCATTACACTTGTTCTCTAGGGTGGAGATAAAATACCTTTGAAACCTAATTCCCAAATCTTTACTTCAGGGATAGTTTATCTGCCCTCTACACTTGCTTTTCCTGATCTTTGGCTCTTGATAGTTGCCTGTCTTCAAATCTTTTATGTATGAAACACTAAACTGGAAAATGGAAATGAGGCTTTCTGCACACAGAGATTTTTGTTTCATGTGTCTATTTTATCCTTTTAGTGTTATATATGTAATATCTTCTATTTCTGATATTGAGCATTGAGCAGAAGATAACCAAGTGTGTTTGTTTTCTCTAAGGAGAAGCCATTGTTATTTTGGGTGTAAAGCTAACCGTGCGGGAGCCGGGCGGGACAAAAAGCAGGCCTGTTTGCCTCGTCACTACACTACCCAAAAAAGATCAGGTGGAGAACTTAGGGCAGAAAAACAAAACAAACAAAAAACTGAGTCACAATCAAGAGGCATAGAAAGAACTTCCGTATCAAAATCAAAATCATAACCCATTCCAATTACTTAGCAGGCACAGGAAGACAAAATGTACTGGACCCATGACACAGTTGCCTTGCTGATCCCTGGGAGAATCAACACCACTTTGCCCATTTTCAGAGATACTGTATTTTCCCGCCTTCTTTCCTCCCAGCCCCACTGTTTAGTCAACAGTTCCTAACTAATCTTCACCACTGAGCTCTGGCTCTTTCTGGATGAAATCCTTGCATCCAGAGATGTTTCTAAATACCCTTGGCCTTGGTCTGACAGAGTGACTCAGAATTCACAGTCCTCCAGTGGCCCAAGGAAATGACCTCCAGAGAGGACATGGTCATCAGTAAGCACATTTCCGCCCTTGTGTTGATGCTATTTTGTGATTTGCCCTCATAGAGAAAGAAATTTCCTCTTTGATAAATAAATTAATCACAGATACAGAATGAAGAATGAAAAAGACTTCTGCGTCTCCTGGGGCTTCTCTCCTATCTTTTCATTATTTCCAGGATGTAGAAGGTAGAGGAAGAACAGAAACTTGTGTCTCCAAGGAGCGGTGCGTGAAAGAAACCACAACAAACCCTACAGGCAGCCCAAGAGGAAGCTTGGGGCCACGCTCTTCCCAGGATCTTTCTACACGATTCTCATCAAATGTGATGGGAATTCCCCACAGACCTTGAGAGGATGTGACTCCAATTACACCCCTTGGTAATTCACTGCAAAGACTCAAGTTCAAGTTCATGAAAACCTTAATCAGCCTTTAATGTCAGGTCAAAAATGTATCATTGGCACTTACTCTACTTTCGATGGCTTACCTCTTCAGTAGTCCTTTGTAAAAGCAACTCTGTCCCCTTAGTGACTTTGCCGACCATATGGAAGCCATACCCCCATCTCAGTGGTAACAAAGAGGAAACTATTGCATGGAGCAGTTTATTTTAACAGCTCAAGAATTATTGCTCAGCATTGGGGACATGGCTCAGAGGGTGAAATGCTGGCTATGCAAGCAGGCAGAGCTAAATTTGGACCCCAAAACCCACATAAAAAGCTGGCACGGTCTCATGCTTACATAACCCCAATGCAATGGGAACAGGGACAGGCAAACCCCTGGAATTTCTGACCAGTTACCACCACAGCCACAAGATGAGCTCCAGGTCAGTGAGAGACCTCATTTACAAAATAAAATAGTGAAGACTTACATACCCAATATCAATCTCTGGTTTTACATGTATATTTGTGCCTGTACACAGCCACCACATGAGCACATCTTCACATACAAACATGTGCACACACCTACACACACCACCTGAAGCTAAATATCTACAGACCACTGGATTGCTTCAGTGGGCATTGACGAAGCAAATGATGAAACGGTCACAAGCAAAATTAAAGTCGTGGTCCACCTCTCTGTTAAAAATGCTACATATAGTTCAACACAGTTCTCAGAAGGCTTCAAATACTTGACATCTACCGCTGGAGAAAGGCCATCTTTTTCAGGAACGACAGCCAAGGCTTTTCCAGTTGGACTCTGCTGGGGCTGCCTGGGTTCATTTCTCAGCTTCATTCCCAATACCTTGCAGCTCTTCAAGTTCACTGAATACCACATCTCTAGTGTCTTACACAGACCTGCAAGCTACTGAGGCTAACATTCCCTAAACTGTGTCTCCTTTCAAATCTCTCATTAAAACTCCTTCCTCTCCTCCCCACTTCTCCTTATGGTTCTTTCATCGTAACTTTATGAAATCCTCTAAATCTCTCCCCCTGTTCCCGTCTTTAGACTATTTATCACCGTGTTTGTCTTAAACATGTGGTGACAGAGAGTAATGGCCGCCCTCTCCTCCCAGGCCCCTTTCATAGCTACACTTTTTGCTTTTCTGGGAACTTGACCATTCGGCTATAGACTTGACATTCCTCATCTGCTGTCCCAGTGGCCATGAGCCTAATTTTCAATTAAATGACTTTGAACAAGAGCCAATAAACCATTTCCAGTTCCCGGTTCAGGAAAATTTCACTTGGACTGGAGAGGCATCTCAGTGATAAGAGCACATGTGGCACTCCTAGAGTGCAGCATCCTCCAGCTCCAGGGGATGTGGTACCCAGACCTGGCCTCTGTGGGTGATGAGGAAGGCCTGGCAGTAGTGGCATGAAGTGGCTGGTCACAGCGCATCCACAGTTAGGAAGCAGACAGCAGACAGGAAGTGGGGCCATTCTATGAATCCTCCAGACTGGCTTCTAATGACTCACTTCCTCCTATAGGCTCTCCCTTCTGATGTAGTGGTTCTCAACCTTCCTAATGCTGTGACCCTTTAATGTAGCTCCTTATATTGTGGTGACCCTAGCCATGAGGTTGTTTTCGTTGCTACTTCATAAGTGTAATTTTGCTACTGTTATGAATCATAATGTAAATATCTGATATGCAGGCCATCTGATATGTGACCCATGTAAAAGAATCAATCCATTCCCAAAGGGGTCATGGCCTACATGTTGAGAAACACTTTTCTAAAGTTTCTATAACCTTCCAATCCCTGTTAGTGACTAAGAGTTCAAACCCATGAGTCTATGTGGGCATTTCACATCCAAGCCACCACAGAGTGGGGTAACAGATGAAAAGTAGCCAGAGATATACCACAGAGCAGGGTAACAGGTGAAAA